GAACGGGACACGGTTGCTTAGGTCACTTCTTGACTGAAGAAACTTTTTGTGGATCAGCCTTCAGCCCGTTTCCCTTCCGCCTCCACGTTTACATTTACAGTAGAGATGACCGTGTAATCTTTAGTTGTCGTCTTTTTCCCACCATGTCCCACTCTTTAACCTGTCTACAACCCAAGAAACACAAACAGACGATTCTGGTACAAACGAACGGGTGGAACCCAAGGGACCCAGGTGCCGTAGGTGACGCGCCGGTTCCTGGCCGGGGACGTCTACCTAAGGTGCACGGTGCCTCCGGGAGCCCCGAGAAAGAGGCCAGGGAGGCGTCAGGGGGAGTCGCTGTCCTTTCACTTTCTGTCCCAGAACACGCAGTGGGAAACTACTCCCGAACAGAAAGGCCCGAGGACATCGGCCGCGGCTTCCTGGTCCGGAAATGACCGCCCGGGCGTGTCGGGGGGACGGGCAGGGCCCCCAGCGCGGCCCACCGTGGGCGGTGGCGCCCGGCTTCACGGCGCTACGAGGAGCGGCACTTGGAACGTGCGCTTGCGGCTTGCTTCGCGCTCGTCCTCCGCGGAACTCGCCGTTCTCCGTCCGCTGTGAACCGAGTGACTTCCGTGAATGTGCCGGGGATGAACCTGCTCGGCCACGGCAGGCGTCGAAGCCCGGGTTCTGAGTGTGTCCGCGTCTCAGGACAAAGCGCGTTGCTGTAAGACAGACGGAATCAACAGGATCGTGCGGGAAATCGCACTCTGAGGTCTGAGCCCCCGGGGCTGGGCCAGACGCCGTCATCAGCGTTCACGGGACCGCTGTGTCCCTCCCAGCCGCCACACGCTCTGCGCTCGCCGCGCATCTGCGGACGTCATCGGGGCTCTACTTCGTAAAGAAAGGACGGTCGAGGAGCAGAAGCAGCCCCGACCGGTGAACCGAGGCGCTCGAAAGGCGGCCAGTCTACGTCCTCCGTCCTCGTGGCTGGAGGTCCTCCCACCGCGGCCGACAAACACATTTGCCATGACCGTAACCGGCCAGGAGTCACGGAACTGCTCAACAGAGGTTTTGCCAGAATAATGTATTTTTCCCCTTCAATCGATAGGACAGAATAATACTCATTTCCTTCAAAGCGGGAAATGGCCACCTTTGGGCTGAGAACGTCCACTTTCAGGGCCGACGGCTGAAATATGAGTTCAGCACGGCAGCGCAGGTAAAGTCCCGTCAGGAAATTATTATCACAAAGAACGTCCTTCCCGCAGGAAGCCCTTCCTGGTGGCAGAGGATGGCCCAGGGCAAGGGGACAGGCCTACACTGGGAGCCTGGGCGTGGGCCGAGCCTTTGGGCTCCTACGCAGCTTCCAGTCCTTCCCAGCAACGAACACCGTGGTAGCCACTGACCCTGGGCCAGAGGAAGACGGGATTCTTCCTACCCAGATGGCAGTCACCGTCTGGCCTTCTTCCTCCCTCCGGCACGCAACCCAACCCACCTGAATCGGGACAGGAGAAGCCCAAACACATCTCTAGTGTCACGGAGAAAAGGAGCAGAGCTGAGGACAGCTGACACTGACCTTTGCCGTGAAGGTACTTCCCGCGTCAGCAACACTACGGGCAGGTACTCGCACGGCATCTCCCCGTTCTAAGTAGGAGGACACGGGGACAGGCGAGGCTCCCCATGGCGACGCCGCACACAGAAGTGAAGCAGGACATGTCCATGGCCCAGGTGTGTGTCCCGATGGCAGTATCGTGGTCCTCTCCCTTGGGGGGTGACGAATTCTCATGCAGACTCAGAACCTTGGGAGCCACTGTTCCTAGGGGGGACGACAGTCCCTACTTGCTGACTGACTAACCAGAGGATGGACCCGGGGCTGTCTTCATTCCTGGTCTCTTGCTCGGGGCCAGGCTTGCGGTCATTTGAGCCCCATTCCCTTACGACACGAATGCGGCGTCCACCTTCTGACTCGCGGTGCTTGGAACGCTTTATGTGGCACTGTTCTGGGGACAACGCTGTGCTGAGTAATGAGTACGGAGTCACGGAAGAAAGGGGAACATTCGCAAAAGGTCCTTAATCGGCAGGAGGCCCCGCGAGGCGGGAGAAGGTGCTGGAACACGAGGGCGGGGCTGGTGGGGGCGGCGAGCTCGTCACACCGTCCTCGCCGCCCAGCAGTTGACATTGCCCTCACGACTGACGTGCCACCTCCTTAAAGAAAGGGGGCGGGCGCCCGACAGCTGCACAATCACGTAAAGCTAAAACAGAGCTGTCAGACCATCATCCTTCTGTCAAGGCATTTGGAATCTCACTGACAACAATTCTCTCCCGCACACACGACAGTCGCTGTGTTTTTGAGAAACAATCTGGAGTTTCAGGACGATCTCCGCAGTCCTCCGCCCCCTTCTCACTATCAAACCCCTCGCGTTCTCTCTCTGGGGGCTTGTCTGTACGTTCCGGTGTGGCTGGCGGGTGGGGAGCATCACAGCCACGGTCACGGCGCGTTCCTTGTCTCTCCACGCTCCGCGGGTGACTCAACAGCCTGCACCGGCCCACGCGAAGGTGGAGAGATCGGGAGACCTCGGGATCGCGGAGGGCAGAGGTGGCGGCATCCAGCCGATTTCAACAGTCCTGAGCTGAGCCTCTTTTGTGCGTGAGGAAGGGGGAGGCTCAGCGAGCCGCAGCGTCCTCTCCCTGCGGTGCACGCAGACACCTGGCCTCCTTCCTGCACATACTCTGTCCTCCTATGATGTGTCCAAGGACCACCCCTCCCGAGGCACTGCATTGCAAACGTTTATAGCCTTTCTTAAATTTGAATTCAATTAATTAACCTATACTGCACTACTAGTTCCAGAGGCAGAGATCAGTGATCATCAGTTGCCTAGAACGCCCAGGGCTCATCACACCACCTGTCCTCCCGAGTGCCCCTCACCCAGTTTCCCCATCTCCCCCACCAAGCAACCCTGTTTGTTTCCTTTGATGAAGAGTCTCATGGTTTATCTCTCTCTGATCTCATCTTGTTTTATTTTTTCCTCTCTTCCCCTATGGTCCTCTGTTTTCTTAAATTCCACATTATCAGTACGATCTTATGATGATTATCTTTCTCCGATTGACTTATTTCGCTCAGCACAACACCCTCTAGTTCTATCCACATCGTTGCAAATGGCAAGATTTCATTTTTTTTTTTTGATGGCCAAGTAGTAATCCATTGTATATATATACCACCTTTTTATTTTCTCTCTCTTTTAAAAAAGATTTTATTTATTTATTTGACAGACAGAGATCACAAGTAGGCAGCAAGGCAGGCAGAGAGAGAGAGGAGGAAGCAGGCTCCCCACCGAGCAGAGAGCCTGACCCGGGGCTCGATCCCAGGACCCTGGGATCGTGACCTGAGCCGAAGGCAGAGGCTTTAACACACTGAGCCACCCAGATGCCCCTTTTTCTCTTAAGAAAATAAATCTCCATCACATTTCTGGAAAAAAAAAATGTATTCTTTTGTGAGGGACCATTCTGGAAAGCGGAAGCAGTAAGGACGTCCAATGTGTGGTTTGAAACGCAGCTCTGAAAGGAGCACAAGGACATGGAGAATTGACCTCCTCTTTTATGTGCACACGGCTCGTTCTCACATGTGAAAACAATTTTACATCATCAAGCACAGGGTCCAGAGTATTTTGCAAATAACTTGACATTAAAAAAGTCAAACATGTATTATTTCTGTTGAGAACTTAGAATATAGAGCATAGGGAAGAAAACAAAAGCTATCGGTTACCTTGAGACTGTCCTCATTTGGCCTGATTCCTACCAGCATGACGTGTTCTTCCTCGCTGCCCACATACACACGGACCTGTACCGACCGGGAGGCTCGTGCTTTTAAAACTATGACGCGCTCTGCAGACACCGCGTTCCACTCCGTCTGACCCGTGTGACACGGGCTCCAGGGCACTTTCTGAAGCACACCGGGTTGGCTTCCAAACAAATGTGGAATCACTTAGTGATTCACTAAGCTGGAGTGCCTAGCACGAGCTGAGAGGTCAAGGTCAGCGCTGATGGAGTGCTGGCTGAGCCCCGGGTTAGACGGCGCGATGTCTGGCTCCTTGGCTTGACGCTGGGCCTTCAGAGCAGGTGCGTGGTCTCGGATTCCCTGACCGAGGTTCCGACTTCCCTCCTACTTTTCCTTCCCTCTCCTCCCAGGGCAGGGGACGGTGAGGTCATTTTGAGGGGAAGAAGGGATGGTTGTGATTAAAGGGAAAAGGAACCATTTAAGGTCCCATCCTTGAACAACCACCTTTGGAAGGACACTTCTCCTTGGAATACCTAGGATGCGTAAGTCTGTATTTATTTGGTTCATGAATTCCTGGCCGGCATTTCGTGCTTTGTGTTACCAGCCAAGGGTAAGGGACGTGTGTGCAGAGGACAATATGGCCCCTCCCTCCCTACGGGGTGAGCCGGTGGCGCTCGGCTCTCCCGAGGTGTTGGCTACGGGACTATGAGCCAGAAGTGGGGCTCACTCTGCAGTGTCACTTTGACCGTGTCTAGTGCTTATTCCTCCCTGGGGGCGGGGGTGGGCCTTGCTAGAATCTGGTGCTCCTGATTCTAAAACCCAGCCAAGGGGACCCAAGGGAAGCGCCGGAGCCGTGAATCACGTTTTTTTGGAAACTGAGCGATGTGGTCTCACTGAGGACTCGGGCTGCGCCGCGGTCCACACGCCGCCGTCCGACCTGTTTCTGCTTCCCTCCCCGATGTGCTTCTTTGCGAGTGGCACGCCACAGCCGACACATGAGGGGGAACGGTATTTACGCAGTATGGCTTTCTCTGAAAAGTGCGGCAGTGTCGCGGGGCTGGGTTAAATGTGTGGGGGAATGTTTGTACTCTTTACCGTCAGCAGAGAGAAATGCGTCTGATACGCTCCTTTACAGACAGCTTCAGAAATCACGTGAAGCTAGACCGAATGTGTATTTAGGCAAGCGGCCGGCAGAGCACAGACCACGGCAGCGCGTCTCAAACAGGGCCAGCCCCCGGGAAGTGCTCACCTTTCAGGGTAGCTTTCTTGAGGACCTTCATTGCGTACAGCTGGCCAGCGTCCGAGCCCTTGGTCTTCCGCACCAGGAACACCTGGTAAAGAGAGCAGGGACATCTGAGGTTGGGGGAAGACGGTGGACTCGGCCTTATTTGAGCCGACAGAACGATACAAGGGGGGTTTAGGGGGAAAAAATCCAGTAAAATAAATATGTACAAGTTCCTCCAGCATCTGAGCTGCCCGGACCAACGTCGTCTAATTGACCGCAACTCTGTGATGGACAGTGTCACGTGTGTGCTGAAGAACGGTTTGTTTTCGGTACCACTTTCTCCTAAACGTTTCTGTGGGAGGGAACACCACACCCCTGGAACAAACAAACAAACGCTGGTTGTTCAGAAATGCAAATGATATTCAGGAATTTCAAGGCAGATCCTTTGGTTTGTTCCAAACACGTCGCTGTAAACCCTGCGGGGAGGGCCACCCGAGCGACCGACCGTGCCACTCACACGGAGGACACTCTGATGCTCAAGACAAACTCAGTTCTCTTATTTTCAGCTTTCTTCACCCAAAATTTAGCTTCGAGCAGAGTTAAATTTATAAAGTTTCTTTCTTCTTCTTCTTCCTCTTCTTTTTAATAGAATTCGTTTCTAAATAGCTCTTAGAGACACGCGTGTGGATCTTTAATGCATTTTTGAAGCACATTTTGAAGGACAACATTGAAGAAAACCAAAAAGAAAACTGAGCTTGGGGTCATAGACAACGATTGCTGAACACGATGAGTAAAGTAAACGCACCACGGGGCGCTGATGGGAGACGCAAACATGCACTGGCGGGAGACAGACGGCCACGGGGACCATACCTGCTACCAGCGAAGGGGCCACCGCAGGGGTGACAGGGACCCACTCTCTGCCCCAAATGCCTGCCTCGTGAGGCTTCGTGGAGCCAAAGAGACCTGCCCCTGCCCATGCCTCTGGGGACGCAGCGCCACTAGTGTGGGGCCACAGGGTGGCCCATGGGGGACAGAGACCCGTGTGGGGCCGGCGGGCCGGGCTGCAGGGTCGCTCCGGGGGACAGAGACCTGCGCGCAGGGTTTGCTCTCTCACAGCTTCCCCCTCCGGGAGAGCAAAGGGGAAGAAGGTGGTGGAAGGCAGGGTGCTCAGAGCAAGGACCTCCCTTCCTCACAGGACCCCGCTCGGTGTCTGCTCTGTGACCTGGAAGACATGACGTCCCCGCACAGGAACGCGGGTTCAGGGAGTCCGTCCTCGGTCCGCCGTGTGCTCTCCAGCCCGGGAGGCGGCTCCTGACCGGGAGCGTCCTGGCCCGGGGACAGCTCCTGCCCAGCTCCTTCCCAGCCGCTCCCGGCACTCGGGTCACAGACTGGGGTCAATGCCAAGGATACCTGCCTCCCCCGCCCAGAAAAAACGAGGGCAAGAGGGACAAGCCGGCCCCACTGGATGCTGCCTCCGGGAATGAGGGCCAGGCAGCCAGGACAGTTAGAAGCAGGTTCCCCTTTTCCTTTGGATTTGGACTACTCTGCCACTGAGCATTACTATTGATCCTTGGGGGACATGTGACATGTCTACACTTATCGGCTGGATGAAGCCGGCTGTGGTGCAGGCCCCCGGGGAGAAAGTCTGGGGTCTCACGGCCACACGGGGTGAGACACAAGCCTGTGCAGACAGGGGCTCTGCATGGGACGTCCTGCCGGGTATGAGCCTCCCGACGGGCGAGGAGAGCTGCCCCAGCCGTGGTCAGAAGGCCGAGCTGTGCAGAGAAAACTCTAGTGCTCGACGTGTTATGTCCTCTGACTCATGGGAAGTCATGCGCCCTGCAGTGTGTCTGCACACACTCTGGTCCCCTCAGGTCTCCAAGCCCTGTCCCCAGGCTGATGCAGGCGGCGGACAGAGGGGAGCAGCCAGGATTTGCGTGTTGGGCAGCAAGCCAGTAAGCAGGTGGGAGAAGCTGGGGGCCCCCCTAAGGGGCCTGGGCCCGAGCATCAGTGCCCAGCACCCCAGAAAGAAAGCTGTGCCCTAAAAGGCATGGGGCTGAGGGGCAGGGGTGTCCGTGGCGGGAAGGGGCTGTTGGCTAAACAACGACTCTAGCTGAGGGGGAGTGTGGCCTCTGGGTGCAGAACACTGCAAAGCTGGACCAAAACACTCCAGCTGAGCCCCGGCCATGGGGCCGAGGGTGGCCGTGCGGGGCCGCGGGCCAAGCCAGCCTGGGCCCCTGAGTCCCCGTGCGGAGAAGCTGCCATGGTTCCTTGCTCAAGCCCTCCGTGCACCTCCACTAGGGCCACAGATCTACCGACACTTCACAGTGAAGCCCACCGCTCAGCCCCAAGACGGGCGTTCTCAGAAGACCGGTAACGGCATTAAAACCGCTCTTCCAAGATGTGCAAGAGCGAAGCTGTCTTCTCTGCATTTTCATCCCTTTGTCCAACTCCTCCCCCGCAAGGTAAGGAGGGGTGCGCGACGTACATGGGGAACACGCCTGAGAGCGCACGTCTGAGCTCAAGGACTTGCGGACACCCCGTTCTGCCCGAGGCTGCCCTGGACGCCGAGTCCTCGGGGTCCACCATCCATTAAGAGTAGTGGAAATGATGTCAAATTTTGCATGAAGCATTGCTCATAAAACCATTTTCTCTTTTGTATTTCAGGCTTTTAAAAATGAGATGATTGATGGTGATGCTGTTTATACACACGTGTCATTAAAAGAGCTCTTCCATTTCAGGAAAGAGCTGGAAGAAACTCCATTCTCGCCGTCTCGTGAAGCCCGCACTGTGCGCTGGGCTGTGGGGTACGACTGGAACCACAGCAGGAGGGACCCCTGGGTAAGCAGGGCCCCACAGGAAGTAAACAGAGCCTTGAGGGCACAAGCCACGGTGCCGTCAATGCCACAGTGAATATGGTCACGAGTGCGAGGACGGGCTCACGAGCCACAGGTGGCCGCTCCTGACCGCCGCCCTGTGCCGCCGCCTCTGGGGCTGGACGCGCATGTTCAGGAACACACTCCCTTGCAGGGAGACAAAGGCTGGATAATCCCAGAAATTTCAGCCCCTGCAACAGCCAACCTTCTGTCTCTAACCCAGCTTTAACATGCTCCCCAGTCCGTTCCAACTGCTGCTTTAGCAGCTCAGCATGTAACATGCAAGGATATTGCTGGGGGACACACGGAGACAGATCCCATGTCATTCTACATCACCCTAAATCTTCAGGTGTCATTGTAATCAGCAAAACCACTGCCTGATTCAGCAAACTTCTCAGCTCTGAGAGCTGCAGTGTCGCGATGGGTCGGCAGTGCTCTCCCACATGGGAGCCGGCTGGGTGGCGGTCACGCACCTGCAGGGGATGCCACCGGATGCCGGATCCTTCCTCCAAAGGAAGACATTTAAACACCCATTCTTATGTGCTACCAACTAAGTGACAGGAAAGCAAGGGCATGTTTTTGTTTGGGTTGATCCCGTCTCACAAGATGGGAATTGTCATCTGCCTATCTCCCCGAATATTTTTAAGAAAAGAATGTTCCCACACCGACCCCTGGTGTTCACCCATGAGGGACACCAAAGAACAGGCAAGGGGATGGGAAGGAGGGCGACGGCAACACTTTTGGACTCTCTGGGGGGCTCCAACGCCTCTCCTGCCTGCAGACTCTCAAGGAGCACCTGGTCCGCACCAGGCCCCTGACACCGGGACACACTGTGCCGCATCTTCCAGAGTTTCACTGTTCTCCCAATTCAATGCTTAAATATCTTCGAGGACAAGGCTGTTTCTCCTGTCCAGGCACCGCTGCTTCCTTTGCTCTCTGGACACCCTTGAAGTCATGATGGCTTGACAAATTACTAACGACCAGAGATGTTCTCCATTATTCCCAGCAAACTGCTCTGGCAAACTGGTTATTTTGCTTCCTGTACTTTGCAGGACTGACTTGGAGAGAAGAGCTCGCGCTGCCCTCCGTGTGGTCCTGCATGGCGCCCACAAGCCCCTGCCATCCCTCCGAGAGATGCCACCAATAGGGAGTCATCCTCTGGGGTGTGGGGCTGCTTCCATCTGGGGACCAGTCCTCTGCTGCACAAGTAGAACATAGCAGCCAAGGGAGGATCCATCAGGGCCCCTAACGTGGGCGGGACGGCAAAGGCCCCTGGGACGAGTCTGCCGTTGGAAGCAGGAGTGGGAAGGCCAAGTGGTAGAGATGGTGCTTATTCCTTCCTGCAGCTCCAGCATCTGCAGTCACTGCACAGAGGAAAGACAGAACGGACAGGCCCGGTGACAGGTAACGGAGGGGCCCGGTGACAGGTGAATACAGCCCAGGGACACTGAGGTCCAGATCAACTCTGGCTCTTTGCTCCTGGGAGCAGAGATAAGAAGGGTGGGCTGGAGCTTTCTACAGAATGAGAATATTTAGTTTTGTCTAATGTTTCTCTTCTAGAGGGCAAAAGCAGGACGACCCTGCATCAGGACGTACCTAGGGGTGAAGAGTAAAACACTGTGCAATGTCAGAACATGCGGCTTTCCCCCTCTTGTCATTAGTTTTGCTTTTATAAAAAATTCCCGACAGACAGCACTGCGTGGACTAAGAGAATTTCCACCTGCAGCTCTCTAGTGCCTGACGTTGGCCCCACGGCATCCCAAGGCCCTTCCGAGAGGTTTCCGGAGTCCTGTCCCGTTTGGTCAGCACCCGTCATCCGCCAGGGGCTCTGGTCTTCACTCCCAGGCCCAGGGGGGCCCCCACACACGAGCTGAGAACTAGGTCGTGAGCAGAGGCTGGAACACCCGTACACAGGGCCACTGCCTCTGCCCCTCAGCTCGCGTGCTCGTCGTTACCTGCCGCGCCGTACGCAGACCGGCTCCGTGTGTGTGAACGAGCAGGTGTGCGGAAGGCTGGGGAGGACAGCCCAGAGCGTGACAAGGACGGCTGTTCCCACGGTTCCACCAAACACCATTCGCTATTTCACTTGTTTTCCGAAGAACGGTCTTTTAAAGCAAATTCAAAATTTGAAACTGGGAGGGAATTGGACAAAGCCTTTCCTCCCTTCCTCTGGAACCCCAGTCTGGGAGGAGGGCATCTTCAAGGGCAGCTTCTGTCCAGGTGAGTTTCTGGACAGACCCCTCGAGCCCCAGACGCGTGGCTCCGTCGAGCTCAGAAACGTCGGTCTGTGAGTCTGTTCCCAAGCAGCTGGAGCTGGGGGTGGTGGGTGGTGTCCACAGTGAGGTCAGAGGGACCCAATCACAATGCAGCACCCACAGTGGCCCACACCTGGACCGCTTGGCGGAGAATGTGCACCAGAAACAATACCTCAGGAGTGTCTGTGAATTTGCTCGTCTCCGTTCTGAAATCCTAGTTCTTAGAGAAAGAATGATGCCTTCTCCTCTTCTCTGACATTTCTAATGAACGGCAGACATTCCATTACCACTTCAGTAGGCTCTGCCGTGTGCTTCCCGTAACGCTCCCAAGGCTGTGAGAGACCGAAGTCTTCGTTCCCTGCTTCCCGAACTCCTTACAGTCCACATCACAGAGCCATTTTTGCAGGACACGAAACTCTGAATATGGGAAATCTGGCATGGCTCAAAGCGACCGTGTTTATGTATAACTGAGTGTACAATCCTCCTTCCCACGTTACTGCACGAAAGCGGAAAAGAAAACAGAAAGACAATCCACCTTATATGCAGGCTTTGGCATATAAGTTTGCAAGCAATCCCATTTTCATGGTCTGCAGAGACTTTGCAGAACATCATTAATGTGTTATTAGTTGTGCCTTAAATCAACAGGCACCACATTGCATCTTGACACAAAGTCCTCCGAAGAACGGACAGATCTGGCAAATGTCCACGTTCCGCGCGAAACGACACTTGGAAAGCTAGTCGCTGCTCTGCCTGTGCCGCAGGGAGGGGCTGTACCGCTTTTCTCGGGCCCCGATATTCCAGAAATCGCGCCGTCAGGGTCTCCGGATTTCTCGCCGTTGCACGGGGACGCGGAGGACCCAGCACCGCGCTGGGAGGACTCTCACGCAGCCGTCACTGAAGATGCCTGTGGTCCCCCGGACCCGGACGCGGCCTGAGTGAGGGGCCGCCCACTTCTCGTTCCTGGGACGGACCAGCCTCACCACACCTTGACGGTGAGGCAAAGGACGCGATTCTGTGTGCAGATACAGCTGAGGCAACGGCTGGATGGCAGTACAATCGCATGGCTCGTGCCACTCCCCATTGTGCAGAGAGGGAAACTGAGGCTCGAGAGAGAGTCTGAACAGCTGAGACACCGGGCAAGGAGATGAGGCCGGTGGCGAGGCCCAGCCTTCCTGACCCTTGGGTGCCAGTCACGCGCCAGCGCGAAGGGCGCCTCTTTCTTCCTTCTGGTCAAGTCTATGCTCTCAGGGAGGCACTGCCTCAAGGTCAAGGACTCTCCTCACCGTGGGGATGAGGAGACACCCGGGAAGTCTGAGGAGAGGGGCGTGGTGCGGGCATTCCCGCGGGCCCACACAGTCGTGGTCCGCACAGCCCCGCATGAGTCGTAACTGTGCAACATGCGTGTGGGTGGCAGCGCGCACGGGACTCGCAGACGGGGGGCTGTCCGCGAGCCTCACCCCCTCGGCCTCAGGGTAGGAGCCGGCCTGGCCATCGCTCGCCTCCCCTGACATTCAAGTGCGTCCCGCCCTGGGCTGGGGGACCTGCCACGGTGCGCGAGCCCCACTCAGACGGAATCGAAGCCGCGGCTTACCTTTCCGTAGGATCCTTGTCCTAAAACTTTGAGCAGTTCAAACTGGGAAGGGTCGGCCTTCTCGAAGCCTTCCTTCACATGGTGGCTGATGTCGATCTCCTTGACGGTACCTTCCTCCTGCAAGAGAGCAGCGGCACGGTGAGGACCCAGCCCGCGGTTCCTCCCAGCTCACCGCTTCTGCCCTACACTGAAGTTACGGCGCGCTGGCTAAGGTTACGGATTTTGAGGACTGCGGTGAAGGCTGGGAAAATCTCTTCTCGACCCTCAGGGTCTTCCAGCCGGACTGAGGACTGAATTTACATGAGACTGAGTAATAGGAGAAAAAAACCAAAGTATTATTCCGTGTGCACAGAGGCAATAACAACACGGAGACCTAGAAAAATGACCAGAACGGGCAGTTTTTTTGTTTTTTCTTTTTAAGATTTTATTTATTTGAGAGAGAGAATGAGCGAGCACAGAGGGGAGGGGTAGAGGAAGACAGAGAAGCAGGCTCTTCGCTGGGCAGGGAGTCCGATGGGGGACTCGATCCCAGGACCCTGGGAAGGCAGATGCTTCATCGACTGAGCCCCCCAGGGCCCCCAGTTTTTATTCGTTATAGACAAAAGGACAACACATCTGGCAGGAATTGGCAAGACAAAGAAGGCTTGACTTTGGGAGCGTCTGTTAATTAGGAATTCGAAAGAAGATTTGCGCTGGGGCAGAGAACCAGGAAAAAGTAGCAAAGGCTCCTTTCTCTAGGGACAGACAGTCTCTAGCTCCTGGTGACGGGTGGTGCCCTCCACAGGGTGGGCATACCGTGACACGTGTGACATCACAGAGCTTCACACCGTCGTCCTTATGTGGGCCTATCTTGGGAAGCAGGCCAGGGAAGCTGGTACTGCGATCTTTTCCGCATGGATATTTGTCCTTAGGTCTCATCTCAAGGACATGCCTGAGGCTCTCCACGAAATCCATCCTGCGTCTAACAGTTTGGGCCAAAGTTGGGATAGGGTTGATCCTGGGACCCCTGCAGCAGAATGAACCTCTGGGACTCCGTCCTAATGTCTGCGGGCTGTGCTGCAAAGGGCCGTCTGCAGGCCCCACACGTGGCCATGGCTTGTGACATGCAGACGCGTGTCCTCCTCCTCCTTCTTGAAGAATATCTTTGGCTTGGCTAATGCCAAGTGCTTTTCATTGGTCTCCCAGAGACCATGTTTCAGAAGAAGCCGTCAGATAGGTTTTTTCTGCCAGTCCAGAAGCAAGATTCCCCAGTAGGAAAAAAAAGCCCTTGATCTTTCAATGAAAACATTGACAGAAATCACCATGATTTCTTCATCAGAGAATTTCCTGTCCCCAAAGACACATCACTTCACTTATAACCCTGTGAATCCGCCCGACGCCAGCAATGGGAACTGGAAAGCTGGAAGGGAGGCGCTTTTCCTGACAGCAGAGGCTAACTGCTGCTGAGTCCCTGCTCTGCTTCTCCCAGACTCCCTTTCCAGCCCCTCCGTCCATCTGAGCACTCACCCCTGCTCCGTCATCTTGGCACTGGGCGAGGTGCTGAAAACCAGCAGAATGGGTGGGCTGAAAAGCTCATCTAAAAATAGCGACCAGAAATCACAAGCACATTGTGTTCTGGGCACTCAGGACTTCTCATTGTTTCTTTCATTCCTTAGAAAAGGGTTTTGAAGTAGAGATTCAGTCCTAGTGAGGCCCAGAGCCGCGAGTGTGGGCGATGGGTTTCCAATCCCGGGGCACTGGGATGCCCAGCTTCTCGCCAGGTCTCAGTCCAACAGCGGATATTTTCAAGTGGAATCAGAGTAACAACAGATTACATTACAGCGGTCTCTCTAAAATGTACAAAAATTTCAGTTTCTCAAAAGTTATGAATTGTACTGTTTTATCTCTGTGTAACTAGCACTGGACACCTTTTAAAGTAGAGTGAGGGGGGCCTGGGGGGCTCAGTGGGTTAAGCATCTGCCTTCGGCTCAGGTCATGATCCCAGGGTCCTGGGATCGAGCCCCGCATCGGGCTCTCTGCTCAGCGGGGAGCCTGCTTCCTCCTCTCTCTCTGCCTGCCTCTCCGCCTACTTGTGATCTCTCTGTCAAATAAATAAATAAAATCTTTAAAAAAATAAAAATGAAGAAATAAAGCAGAGCGAGGTCACACGTGCTGCAACACCTCACCCCAGGTCAGCCGCGGGAACGTGTCGCTTTTTCTCTTCCGGTGGAGAGAGAACGCTCCAATTTCCACCTCGCTGAGGATTTGCCATTTTTGCACAAGCGATGGTTTTTCTGATTGTGAGCAGAAACAACGAATATAGCCAAAATGGATTCTTTTTGATTCGTTCATAAGGTTCCAAGGAGCGCGGGTAGGAGACGGCCAACTAGAACGTCATTGATTTGTGATCAGGTCTGGAGTAAGTAAAGGTCTGGGGCACAGGCCGCCCGTCGGGATTATCGTTACACACAGTCTGGGGAGGAAGTCACAGTTACAGACATGCCCGCCAACGCCTCAGACCTCCTGGACCAGCCCCTTTTCTGTTAACACAGCACGTTCCAGCCACGGCCCACTGACCACCCTCTCCCTACGCCGCTGTCCATCCCCCAGAATCCCGATTCCCTCCGGAAATAACTTCCATCACGCAGCCGAGGTAATGCAGTCCCCACACCACAACAAGGTCATCATTCCCCAAATCCCATCTTTCCGCGGCTTCGTTAACAAAGTCACATGCTGACTAGAACGTCCAAGTCAACCCTGACCACAGGCGCAGGGGACGGTGCGGGGTGTGGGCTCTCAGCGTGGCCGCTGGGGTCTCCCCCAACCGCACTTCACAGCACGTGTGTTTCATGAGGATTCCAGATCGTTCCTCCTCTTCAGGCGCTCTTTGCGGAGAGCCGGAGGCCCTCGGTGGCAGTAAATGAGGTCACTCAGCACACTGGGACGCTGTCAGGTGGCGCTCTGACTGTGGGAGCCCCCGTGCCCGGTCCCTGGACATCCCCACCGCATCCGCGCTCCCGGAGCGCCAGCCGGTGAAGGAGACTTCACCCCGTTGTCGCCGGGACACCTCCCAGCTGCCTCCTCCTCCCCGCCCACCGCGCCCCTCCCGCTTCAGGCCTTTACCTTCTTAACGTTTCACACAGGAGGTTCACAAACAAATCTGTCCGAACATTTCAAGTGTTGTGTATTCGCGCTGTCCAAGAATTTAGAGCAAACGTACCCAAATCCCGTAGCTAGGTTCCCCTCTGAGAACGGGCTCGGGAACTCCGGGCTCTCCCCTGGCCACGTGGCAGTACCGCTCTTCTCCCAAGGGAGCTCAGGAAGGTCTTCAAGAGCAAAGCCCGAGCGTGTCCCACTGTAGATTCCGGAGTTTTGCCTTTGTAGTGACATTTTGGCTTGAATTTGCCTGAGGATACTTTGTTTTTCTCTTTCCCAAAAACTTAAAAGAAAGAAAGAGGGGAGGGGAGGCAAGGGGAGGCGAGGGGTGGGGAAGGGAGGAAAGGTTGAGCCAACGTTGACCCCAGAGGCCCGTGTCACAGGAAACACGCAGATGCAGGCAGGGAGGGGGACATGCCCAGGCATGTCTGCTCTGTTTCCAGACAGAATGTCCTATTTTTTGGCCGATCATTGCCCAAAAGGGCATCTAGAATTACAACAATACCCACGTCTCATTTTGAAATAAATGCCTTTTCTTTGTTATCAAACAGGCTATTTTATCTAGAACTCTGTGGATTTTAATGTTATTCCTTAAGAAAAGAAGCTCCGTCCCTAAATGCTCTACACAGGGCACTAAACATTTGGTTTCTAGTGTGACTCCTGTAAAGGGTTTTTTAAAATAACTTGAGAAATTTGGTGGGGAGAAAGTGGTACCTTGCTTCACAAGCAAGAGGGTTTCAAAAATGTTCTAATGTGAGAGAGAAAAGCTAGAGAAGAACATGGTTTACATAACAGCAATACATGACAAGATAATTTGTGACAATGAATTTTTAAAATCCCTATTGAATTGTGTTTGAACTTCTGACGGATCCCAGAGCTTGTCGGGCAGGTAACCCAGCAGTGTGGTGAGAGGCTGGTGGGCTGCGGCTGCGATGAAGGCGGCAGGTGGGGGACACCTCACAGCTGCCCTCTACTCCCTGCACACGGTCACCGCCTTAGAGTGTCCTCTGTTCCAAGGCACCGGATTTTCATTTACTTATTTATTTATTTATAAAGATTTTATTTATTTATTTGATAGATACAGAGAGCACCTGTAGGCAGAGCTGAAGGCAGAGGGAGAGGAAAAGCAGGCTCTCCTCTGAGCAGGGAGCCCGATGCGGGACTTGATACCAGGACCCTGGGATGATGACCCGAGCTGAAGACAGACGCTCAACTGACTGAGCACCCAGGCGCCCCTCGTGTCATTTTTAAAGGGAGAATATTTGTGAAAAGCATGTGCAGATTAAAAGTTGTGAACTATTAATGATAAAGACATAGAACATAAAAATTGGGCAAGTGCTAGCTTCACCTCCAGAACAGGGGGCGAGTTCATTCTAGAAAGCACCTATCACAGGTAGGATATCAATCCCACGAAGGGTACAGAATGGATGACGAAACAGGTGGTTTATAAAAGTGTAAAAAGAACGAGGAAAGGGCCTGGCCTCTGCGTCACTGGGAGCAAGTCCATCAGAACCAGGGGGGAGCAAGGAGCTTGTCAAATATGCAGACCCTGGGGTGGAGGTGGGCAAGGCCTGGACCCTGTGGAGGACGGGGTCCTAGCTCGGAACGCAGAACTGGGTTTCACGTAGCTTCCCGGCTCACACCAGCAGTCCTTCCCCCTTCAGCGCTTCCCACCAACATAAGTGTGTACCCTTCTCAGTGAAAATAAACCTTCATTGTCCCCCCGGCCCCCACTCCAGGCTACCCCAGGGGCAGACCAAACTCTGAAGGGATTTTCCAAACTCAGGGTCTCCAGTTGTTCCTCTATCCACTGGCATCATCTCGCACCAAGTCCAGACAGAGCGCTAAACCCGGGGGTCAGATCCCCAAGCTACACACCACTCTGTCTTCCTCAGGACGTTTTGCTCATGGGCACCCAGGATGTCTTGCTCCCTGGGACCCTCCTACCTCCCCATTCTTCTGGCTCCTTTCCTCCTTCGTTA